GCCCGCAATTGGTGGGCCCAACAGAAGAAGACCCAAGGCCGTGTCAAACCTTGCCCACATCTACTACCACAACCATCGGGGAGAGCGAGTGCCACCCAAGCCATCTAGGGACCATATTCACATCATCCCTAAGGCTAGTTCCCGTAGTAGCCCTGTGAGTTACCCTTGGGGAAAAATTCATGGGAACCCACACCTTAATAATCCAAAACACCATTTTGATCCTTACCTGGCCCAAGCCTACCCCTTAGCCAAACTGAACCAGCCACTAACATACCTTGAGGCTGCCAGGAAAGGACTTAGCCATAGGAAACCCCAACAGAATGAGCCAACCCAACCATGCCACCAAAATATACACCTCGGCCTTGGACGACAGCCGGTTCGGGGAGCAACAGAAGAACCTTCCTTCCGCAACAGTGACTCTAAGGAACCAACCGAAGCCGATCTCCGAGGACGTAGATCGAATTGAGTGGGGGAGAATGTCACAGGTGACTCCTTCGTCGCACCATCAAGCACCTACAATGAGCCATCAGAGTGCCAACCGCGTGCCTTCATGGTATCAACATGTGTGTCATGGGTGGGCTTTGCATGTATTTTGTAAGGGGGACCGCCAATGGCGTTATTGTAATTACTTAGTATGATTTTTCGTCCTTTTGATGTTTCCTATTGTCACTCCCCCAAAAGCTTAACGTACTCTTTGAGGGTAGGTAGGTAGTCGAGTGAGTCATGAGCATGTAAAGGTTAAGCATGAGATCTCCTCGACACTGAACTGTGTGCTTATGCTTGCCATCCATTAATGCAATACAAGTAGCCTTTTTCTAATTCGTGTGCCATCTTTGTTGCCTTTTCTTGTGTTGTTGCTTGTTTCTTAGGCTTACTCGTCACATTCAAGTGCCGCACGGGGTCCCAACGACTACCCCCGTGACAAATAGGCACTTTACACAAGACGGAGGGTAGCTCGGCCCCATGAATTGTCTCTGCAGATAAAGAACAAATCCCTAGGGAGAGAAGAAATACAAAAGGAAAAGGGTCAAAAGATGATAGAGCTTGATGCTCCAACCAATCCACAGCTTGGTTCACTTCCCTGTAGGAATGAACGTACAAGACACCACAATCCATCTTTTCAGCCAACCAATCCGCTTCTTTAGGCACGAAATCACTACGAGCGTGTCACCTTCAAAACAGATGGGAAAATTTTGAAATTTTGAGCCATATTATGGGCTTCCCAAGCAGCCCAAGCTTCAGCAACATTAATCGTTGTGAACCCAACAAAGGACACTTTAACATCCAATATTCCCCACAATGGTTTCTGGCTATACAAGCAAAGGAGCAGGCCCCATCCTCTTTTCTCAAGGCATCAAAATTTATTTTAATAGTATCCTCTCTTGGCAATTTCCAAATGATGGTTCTCCAAGATTTTGAGCCCATTGGTTTGTTACTGGTATGCAGTCCCAAACAAGAATCCCTATAAGAGATAAGGGCTCTATCAATGATACTCGAAGGGGGGACAGACCTATTGTTAAAAACTTTATCATTTCTACTTTTCTAGAGATACCATGGAATGAAGAGCTGTATTTCTCATAAAGCAATTTATCTCTATTGTGAAGATTTGACCACCAATCCTGGATTGAAGAGCCTCCAAAGCTCTGATCAACTACACGAGGCTCAATGGTACTCCAGACTTGTTTTGCAAAGGAGCATTTAAGAAAGATGTGTTCACTATTCTCTTTTTCACCACAGAAGCAACAAGAGCCATCAATGGGAATCCTCCTAGAGATGAGCAGGGCTTTAGTAGCTAGATGGTTATTAAAAACCAGAAACAGGAAAGTTTTTAACTTTGGGGTACCTTAATTCCCCAAATCTTACTAAGTATCAAATTGGTGCCCCCCAGTCCTCTCGACATAGTACTAACTTCTTTATAAGCAGATTTAATGGTGAAATTCCCTTTTGAGTCAAACCTCCATATTAGGTTATCTCCGCTAGAATCCGAAGGGATTAAGATGGGCCTTTTTTTTTTATAGGAAACGGTAACTTTCATTAGATAAAACCATAAGAAACAACTGTCACCTTCCAAAGTAAAAGGTGACCCCTGAATAACAAAAATCTTACAACACTGCACAACAAAAACTCCTGATTCACCCCCTGTTTTGCTAGGTAGTCAGCTAAACCATTTGCTGACCTCCTAGACCAATACACTTTTGCATCCAGCTCCCTTGTGAGGCTCAATAATTCCCTTACCTGTTGTCTAAGGAACCACGTTCCCAAACTGTTTGATTGCAGCCATCCTACTACTAATTTTGAATCCCCCTCCACTTCCAACTGTTGGAAACCCAATTGCTTGGCCCATCTGAGCCCCTGGAGGAGCGCCAAAACTTCAGCTCTAAGCGAGTCCCCCACACCTATTGGGCCAGAATACAGAGATAGGATTTTTCCTTCCACATCTCTAAACACACCCCCTATTCCAGATGGGCCTAATGTTATTTCAAACATGATTTGGAACAGTTCTATGAATCTTGTCTTCCTTCCACACTTTTCTTTCATGGTCAATGAAATCCAAAACTCGCATCTCACTATCAAACACTAGAGGGATCTCTATTAACTAAATCCTCAATGGCTCCCGAGTCAATCCATTTATCTTTCCAGAAGTAGATATTTTTACCATTGCCAATATTCCATCCAATCCCTCTCTTGAGAAGAGGACTAGAGTTAAGAATTCCTCTCCGAGCCCAAGAAATCCCTCTTTTTGTAAGGGCATTCCATAGATTTTCATTCCTTATATACTTATGGGTCACAACTTTCACCCAAATGTTTTGCTTTTCTTTAAAAATTTTCCATCCAAGCTTTGCAAGGCAAGCTTCATTAACCCAGAATAGGTTCTTAAGGCCAAGCCCACCCCATCTCTTGGGTAGACACACATTATCCCAACTCATCAAATGGAATGGTTTTTTACCATTATTCTTTGACCACAGGAAATTCTGACTTTTATTTATATCCTTAATCACATTATCCGGGATCTTGAAAGATCTCATGATGAACTGAGGCATTGAACTGATAGTCGAATTTAGGAGAGTGATTCTGCCTGCGAAGGAGAGGGTTCTCTTTTTCCAACCCGCCAATTTATTATTTATTCTTTCTCTAAGGTCACTGAAAATTTTCTTAGAAACTCGGCCATTTTGAATCAGAGCCCCAAGGTAGGAATCAGATTTTTTTCTCCCTAGGAATTCTCATCATTCTAGATAAAATCTTCTAAAGCCTAGGAGGGATATCTTGAGAAAAAGACGAGGCAGATTTGCTAAAGCTTGGGCATTCGCCTGAAGCTTTAGCAAAGTTTTCTAATATTTCTTTAACTTTCAAACAAGCAGGTATAGGCACTTCACTTTAGATGTTAAATGACAACATTTAATTTATGCATATAAAAAAAACATCCTTAATGAATAACAAACATGGAAATAAGAAAAAATGTAATTGCATAACAGATTGAAACTGGTACTGCATAAATTTTACGTAATTGAAACCTGAAAAGACAAGAGAAACATAATTCATGAATTTTATCATACTAAGCAGGCCAATGTGTGTTGAACACTTATCAGTTCTGTCCAGCATAGGCGAAATGTAACTGAGACATTCTCTTAGAAAGTGATGTCTTTGCTAGAAAATGCATTTCCAGTACATCATATAAATGGCCTATCAATAACAAAGATGGACCATAAGTCTTATAAATGGTAACAACGACAGCCATAGACCTTAGACCAAAAACCATCCCATTCATTCAACCACAAATATATGTGTGTAGGCATGACAGCATTCACCATGGCAAGAATTCTCTACCAGTGGAGGTCTCAACCCGTAGTCCAAACCATGTACTTACTGACCAGAAACTTCTGCATTGGCAACATGCAAAGTCCTTTTTTTCATTGTCAAATAATAATTTTCATTAAAAGATGAAGCAATAAGAACAACATTTAAAACCTCTAAAAGTTGTAACCCCAGGGAAGGAAGAGGGCCCAAGAAATGAAGGCCCCAATAATCAATTTAATAAATAAATAAACAGCATCTGTACCAGAAAAGAAACACAATATGGGGACTCTTATATTGTTTCAGAAGAAATCTAGGAAATGATCTTCTGCATTAACATTATTTTCTGCTTTTACCTTTTGTTTTCCTCATCTGATTTGTTTTTTCTTTGGAGATTAGCCCTTCTGTATTTCTTCACTTAACCTTTTCAGTAAAATTTTGTCATGCATAAAAAAATTATTCAAAAATAATAAGTAGTCCTACAACAATTTATACCAAGGGAAAAAGGTAGCATCCCATGAACTCATCAAAGGGCTTAACTTGTCCAAAGAGTGCAACAGGTATGGGATTGGTTGGGGAAAATACTAACATTCATGAAAGAAAATGGACCAACTTTATTGATCTCTTGGTTATTTAAGTGGTCAAGCAAACACTGTGCAAGGACCATCATATCGCTCATTTAGTTTTTGACATTGGAAGGCCATATTGTGTGGTTGTAGCATGGAAGTATAATGTGTCTAATCTTGTTTTCAGATTAACTTTGAGATTTCAACTTCACATAGGGTTTTTACTCCCTTTCATTTCTAGAATGTGGAGGGGTAAAAGATTTGCATCTTCTTAATAGAAAAAATGGGAGAAGGTGGCATTTGTCAATGGTGGAAAAGCTTTATCTTTGTGAAATTACTGAAAAGAGATTTATCTGTTTTAAGGGACATCCTCACAACTCAATATTCTATGTAGCTTAATTTAGATTCAAGGTCAATGAACAACATCTAATTTCTGAACCATATGCACTTCCAGATTCGTTTTAGATATTTCTAAACTTGGACTTTTGACAACCTCCTATATTTGATTAGATCCCATGCTTCCAGAGGTTTTCCTAAATTGATATGCGGTGCAAGCAAGAGGCAGACCATGCCTTGCTTGAATTGGATAGCCCGTTACAAAGTACGAATTCCAAGGATTATTCTAGACTTTCCACGATTTTCGATACTGCTCTAAGCCTCTTATGATTCATGGAGAAACACCTATTTGGAGTAACTAGATGTTATAAGCCATTTTTTGAACATCATTTAAGTAAAGTTTCAAGTTCAGGATAAAACGCACACCTCGAAGAGTCAAAGTCCGGCATTGTAGAAAGAAAAGAATGTGGAAAGTTAAAAGCACTATTATTACTTCAATCAGCAGAGTTCTCTGTTTTTCTTCCATACTAGTTCGTGTGTTTCTTAGCATGAATCAGCGTATCAGATTCAAAAGAGCCAAATAAATACAGAAACTTTAAAATCAACTTGATGGTATATTGAAAAGATGGTAAAGATAAATCCAACACCAAAAGGTGAGAATCGTAAAGAAAAATATATGAAAAAAAAACGAACTAAAGGTTCTACCTTCGAGTGGTGGTCATGAGAATTAGATATGCCCATTGCTTCGACGTCAAAAGAATCCAGTCTCTGGGGCTTCTTCACAAGCCTTCTCCTAATAGACCCATACCCTTCCCTACTGATTTCCTCTTCGTGCAAGGACAGTGGAGGTGACTCTGAATCCACTTCGCTTCCGTCAACCCATCTGGACTCCGAACTGAGCAACCTAACACTCTCTTCAATTCCTCCTTCCATTCTCTTTTTTTGGCTGCTTCAGCAACTATGAACAAAAAATAAAAAATAAAAAAAAATCTCGGATTCTCTCAATACTTTTGAGTTTTGATCATTAAAAACCTGTTAGAGATACTTGTCCGGGAAGTCACCGGGAAGAAAATTAGCATCCATCTTCTGTATTTTTTTCCTGCAGGTCACGTAGGCACGAATCAGAGAGCTTTCATCTTTTTGAAGTTTCTATTCATCTCTTCGAGGACCAACCAGTGCCCAGTTGCAGATACGCATCCATATGAACAGGAATCCATAACAAGTCCCTCTTTTTTGCTCTGTTTTCTTCGGAATTTCAGATTAAAAGGGTCAAAAGCTAAGATTTTTCCTGTGGTTCCCGCTCGTATTCTCAAAATACGCATCAAAATACACAAGCTACAGGAACATGTCCGAGAGGCAATAAATCATAGGGACCAGGTTTGATTCTTCTTCCTGCATTCCTCCATGGCTGGAAACGTTACCAAGTCTTTGGACATCTGTGGGAGAAGAACTCAAATGCAACTTTGCAGCTGAGGTTAGGTTTAATTTACCAAAACACCCTCAATCCAGACGAGTTCATTTGACATAATATGCCACGATGGTTAGCCTGTTAACCAATCTGGAATTTCCACGAATAAGACGTGAAAATTCTGGTACCCTTAACGGAACACTATACGGTGATGGGACCAATTGCGATGCTTCCTCGTTACTCGGATTGGATGTATTAAGCTCATGCTTCGTATCATTGCCCTCCAACTTTCATACGAATTATCAAAAATAACCTCCATGTGGATTAAAAATAAAACCTCCTTGTCCCGACTTCCTATTCCAAATTAACTCGCGGTTTATTACAGATTAAGTGGCTTTTTTTATAGATGAGAGGTGAGTGTCCGGATATGGTCCAACAGGCAACAGCTATTGCACCCGTACATCTGATGTACGGCTTCAATGGGCGCCTCACAGGTACATCTACCGTCCATTGGAAAATCTCACCTAACTTATAAGTACGGGAGATGTTCCAATGCGTGGTAATCCATTGAAAAATCTCACCCTAACTTTTAAGTACGGGAGATGTTCCAATGCGTGGTAAAATGTGCAGCATGGTAGGATGTGCATGTAAGGTCGGTGTGAAGCGCCCTGCGTGAGGAGCGGATCTTTTTTTATGCATTGTTGTGGCCCCATTTTACTTCATTTCATCCGATTCGAGATGGAGTCACAACAATTTAATTTACTATGCCATGCACGGGATGGGGAACTCCTCCCTGTCACTTGCCCCCGTAGTCAGGATATTTTATCCATCCCTATCTCGTTTTTTGTGCTGGGATGGGTTCAAGGCCAAGAACTCATTCTATGGGGAATCCTAAAATTTTTTCACCTCAAACAATTACCTAAAAATAATATAATTTGTAGATACTTTACAAATAGGATTATGAGAAATTTGAGGTATTTTAGAAATTGGATTATGACAATTTGGGAGTGTTTTATATATGGAATTATGGGATCCTATGATTATAAGAATATGAGGAAAACTTATAAATATTATAAAAAATCAATATTAAATCTACTAATATTTTATAAATTTACCATTGGGTTTGGGGAATTATATGCAAACTTAATCCCTTCCCCGTCCCTGATTTGTAGCATAAATATTTTCCACGTCCCTTCCCTATCTCTTCCCCATCCCTATTTAAAATTCGAGATAACTTGCCACATTCGAGGTGGGGCAAGGTAGGGCCCTAGTTTTATAGGAAAAACTGCATCCCTACAATTTTAATAATTTTCTATGACCAATTAACTAATAGTAAATTAAATAACAATAGATTATAATATTTGATGGCAACTTCCAAAAATTATTGATATTATTATTGATTAGAAAAAAAGTGTATAGTAAGTTAGTTATTTATAATATCAATAAATTAATGTAAATTATTTACTTTTTAAGCCTAAATTATTTACTATTAATCAAAGTGATGTAATTATAGTAAATTAATGTAATTATGGTAAATTACATTAAGTTTAATTAAAAGTAAATCATTTGTTATTAATTAATATTAAACCAACTATGGTTGAAGTCAACCAAGTGGTCTAGACCAGTGTGGACAGGTTTAATAATTTTCCTAAACTATTTCATAATTATCTATTAAAATAATAATAATAGATTGTTATTTAAATATATATGAAACAACTTATGATAGATTAATTTCTTAATTTAGTTTTCCTGAAATTTTTAATAATTATTTACTTGAATAATAATAATAATAATAGACTACTATTTAAATAGTTTTGGATAATTTTTTTGTATATTAATTTCCTATTTTTTAAATTATTATTTATTTAAAAATTTATGGATTATTAGTTAAAGAGTTTCCTTGAATTATTTGATAATCATTAACGATAATTATTGATTTTATAGAGATTAGTAAATTATATCAATTAGTAATATCGTTTATGAATAAATAATTGTTGTAAAAATTTAATGAAAAATTATTAAATTATAATAATTAGTGTAAAAAATTTTGACTTTTCAAATGTCACTTAATGGATGATTAGCGGACTTGTTAACGGCAGGTACTAGATTGTCACATTTTTAAAGTTCGGGTACAAGGATTGTCACATTTTTAACGTTTGGTACTGGATTATCCCATTTTAAAGTTTGAGGACCAAATTGTCACTCGAGCTAAAGTATAGAGTATTGATTGATCGGGAATTTTCCCTTTTAATAATTGCTAGATAAAAACTTGCTAAATTTTAATATTTTTGTTAACTTTAGTGATTTTATTAATTATAGTTATTAGGCTTCAAATTATATATACATTGCACGTTATAGGTTTCTAGATGAACTGGAACCGTTTTAACATTGTATTTATTAATAAATACAGTGAATTATTTAAAAATATAATAATTATTATCACTAAAATAAAATACTATATTGAATAAATAATGTCTTTATTAAAAAATTATAAGTATTAAAAATATTGTAATTATTAAAACCCTGTATTTATTGAATATATGGCTAATTTATTAAATAATATTAACTAATAAATACAATAATTAATTAAGTACTATTAATTAATAAATACTGTAATTAACTAAATACTTTTAATTATTAAATACTGTATTTGTTAAAATATAGTTAATTATTAAAAGTAATGTAATTATTTATTTACTGTTCATTAATAAATACTAATGATTAATTAATAAATTCATTATTTATTAATGTAATTATTAATACTAATTTTAATAAGAATTTAATTTATTAAAAATTTTAAATAATATTAATTATTAAAAAATACTATGGTTATTAAAATATTGTAATTGTTAAATTACTATATTTATTTAAAATACATTAATTTTCTTAAAATTGTCATATTTTCAGAAATATTGGTATTTTATTGGATAAAACTAATTAAATATAATTTTCTGGTAATTAAATATAATTTTTTGGTAATTAAATGTAATTTTGTGCTAATTATAACTTAAATTATAATTACTGTTAATTATAGTTTTAAAAATAATTATTGTTGATTTTCAATATTTTTCAATAATTTATGGCTTGGGTATTTTTAATAATTTTTTGGTATTTCTTAATAATAAAACACTATTAATTGTACTTTTTTGTTTTTTTCAATAAACAACCTTTTTAATATAAAATACTATTATTTTTCAATATTTTTAATTATTTTCATTATTTTAATTACGTTTAGGTTTTCAGAATTTTCTGGATTTTTAATTAATTGTTGGTATTATTTCATTATTATTCAATAATTTTTGCAATCAAATATTGTTAATAAAACGGGTTCTACATTTTAAATTTTTGTTAATTTTTATCATTTTTAATGAGTCCACTGTGCACAATAAAGGTCTCAACTCATAAAATTTATTAATTAATTAAAGTGCATTAATACCAAGTTATCTAATAATATTATTAAAACTATTAATTAAATTTTTATATTTAAATTTCTTATTTTTATTAGCATTTATTAAGTTTGAATTTTAAGTGAAATTGAAACACATTTTTAATATTATTAAGCTTTGTTAATATTTATTTTAAGTGAAAAATAAGTGGATTTTTTATTTTTTTTATTGTTTAACCTCAACCTATTTATATTATTATAATCATCAATATAATTTAGTTTGTCACATCTGCCCCCCACAAAAAACACCCGAAAAATGTCCCACAACATATCCCAATCGTTATTGGGAACACTTCCCACCGACAAATACTAGAGATATTCACAAAGCATGATTAGATGTGCATGTGGGACATTTTTGGGGCATGTTCTGTGGGGGCAGATGTGAAATCAACTTAGTTACATGAATTAAAATTTATATGGATATAGTTTTAATTTAGTTAACATGTTTAAATATCATTTTCTTCTATAATAAAATTATTTAGAAAACAACTTTGCGTTATTGACAATAGTAAAAATAAGTTGCCATGTTATGATGATTATCATGCATAACCAATAATGTTATTTATATAAATTAATAAAGATAGAAATTAACTTTTCATTTGTAATCTTCTTTTACTTTTGGAATACATAAATCAATAGCATCCACGAGATTATTCCATGAAGTAAACTTTGTTGGCACTAACTTGTTATGTACAATAAAGTATGCTAAAATTAAATAAAATAATTGTTTAAAATATTTAAAATATTTTGTATAAATATAATATAAAATACATGTACATACTTGTAACCCACAAGAAAAACAATAATATAGTTTTTTAGGGAATAATATCGTAGCAATAATAATAATATGCTACATCAGTTTCATATATGAACCTAGTTCAAGGAGTTGAAATTATGGGTCAAGATTAGCCTTTCGTACATTGCACCCAACGGAACATAATACAAAAGTAGGGATGATAATTTATAGTTGAGATGAGGGGACAAGCCAAGAAATTTCCAAGCTAGGCCTAGGCCTTGTGTTCATACCTAGGCCCAAAAGTTTTACTACTAGATTGGGCTCAATGTATCTACAATAATATATATGTATGTATTATGTATGCATAGGAATTATTACTTTCCCTGTTGGTAAAATATAAAATTTGCAAACATGAGAACACGGATTTAGGGATGCAAATGATCTGATTTGATTTGAAGTCCAATCCTATATTCTCGGATTCAAATAGCCCCATCTTGGATCTTTGGATCGGATTAGATTTGAATCACCCCCTATCTGATCTGATATATATGTTACTTATTTATATAAATATATAACACACATACATATATATGTTATTTATTTGTTTATAAATATATTTTTTTATTGGTTGTATTATTTTTTTATAAAAAAATGTATTTATATGAAGGAAATAGTTGAAAAGATACTTGCAATTTTTATTGTTCTTTATTTAAATTATTATGTTTCATTTTTTACTTTAATAGTTTATTAATTACAAAAAATCAAATCGAATTGGATCAAATAAAAAAATCCTGCTTCATCATTGGATTTGAATTCAAATCTGTGTTTATTAGATCCGATCGAATCTTCAATTAACAGTATCG